AGGGGCCGCCCTCCCTGCCCCACATTCAGTGCCCCGTGTGCCTCTGCTGGGTCTACAGTGATGGGGCTATTAAGGTAACTGGAGCCCTAGCTGGTTTGGCTCAGTGGATAGAGTGTCAGCCTGCGGATTGAAGGGTCCTGGGTTTGATTCCAGTCAAGGGCACATGCCCGGTCTGTGGGCTTGATCCCCAATGTGGGGCGTGTAGGAGGCAGCTGATCAATGATTCTCTCTCATCATTGATGTTTCCAACTCTCTCTCCCTCTCCCTCTTCTGAAATCAATAAAAAATATATTTAAAATTTTTTTTTTTTTTAAATAAAGGTAATTGGAGCTGAACCCAGAGCTCCTGCTAACAGTGTGGGCATCAGGAAAGACTTCCCATGGTCTCACTCCCAGCATCGCAGGTGCCCTCTGCCTATGGGACACAGCAGAGCTAACGCGCTTAGCCTGGGAAGGGAGCCCATTTTGCATCTCCTGGTATTGAGAGTTTGACTCCAGTGACCCCAGCCGTCCTTTCCTCTCTCACCCCGTTGCAAGGTCAAAAATCCTCTTACCTTTGAATCTCCAGTGTTTCTTACCCTCTCTCCCACACTCATTACTACAACCTGTTCTTAGGAAAGGCTGTCATCAGTCTTGAAGAACCATGAAATCAACAGTTTAACCTCTCTCAGGACCATTTGCATTTTAAGACTGAGCCTTGTCAGTGAAACAAAGGCTCTGTCCTACCCACCCTCCACGATTCCCAAAGGTACTTCTGGTGACAGAAAGCACATGGGACTCCCCGCAATCAAACAGCAGATGTTTACAGTCCTCTCTAAAACCTTCAGCCACCCGCACCGCCCTGCCAAGGCATTTGCTCTCAAGTCTAACTTCAATCCCATTACTGATGTTCAATCATTGCCTTCTATTATGGCAGGGAAGTTTTTTGCATCCTTTCATCCATTTATCCACCCAACAAACTTTTCCTGAGTACCCACCATATCCTAGGAACCTGGGCCTGCAGAGACAACCTGGGCATTGCCCTTCAGCAGCTTGCAGGGAAGCATCTCCAAGCCGAGCCTCGCCCACCAGCTGGTACACAGTAGGTGTTCCATAAATGCTGCTTCCCCTTCTCAGGGCTGCACGGTATGGACACTGCAATAGGACACCAAACATTTTCTAAAAACCCTCACCAGGTGGACGAGAGTGCCAGCAGGAGTGAGTGGTTTCTATCTTTATTCGGAATGTGGTGGCTTGTTTGGGATGTTCCTCACATCAGACTGGAGAGGCATGCAAATGAGAGGGGCTTATTCTAAGCAGATCAGGGCTAGGGGCAGCCCAGGACACTGTCTCCATGGTGCAGAGCCCCAGACAGTTCGGAAACAAACAGAAACCCATCCAGAGGAAAGAGACTGACAAAAGCAAAAACAAACAAAGGCCAAGAGATGGAAAACTCAGGAGGTGGGGCAGGGTGGAGATGAGCAGACTGGGGAGATGGGTGGGGGCTATGGAGGGGACTTAGGGAGGGGTAGGTCCTGGGATTTTGTGTATGTGAAGAACTGAATCCAGTCCTACACCCCGCCCCCCCACCCCCACCCAAGAATCACCATGGCAACTGGGAGGGTAAGTGCTGCTGATTCTAAGCCAACACAAACCTCCTGGGTTTAGCAGCAGGAATGGGTTCAGATGCCTGGGGCCATGTTCTAAAGAAAAATATCTGAATTGGGCTCTTTAAATCACAAATTCCTCATCCACTCCTGGTTTTATAGGCAATTGGGGTTTAATAAAATGAATTAATAAGAAACAACAGTGAACCACAACCCTACTTCTGGTCTCTCTCACTTACACCGACACTTATCCAAAAGCCCACAGAACAAAACCGCTGCCCTTTGTGGTGGAAACTGACAGCTCATAGGATTCTTAGCACTTCCCAGAAGCAGGTACCTCACTTGTGGAAGCTTCACCTGCCACCCCTCCCAAAGCTGTCCTCCCTGACAGTGACTTAGTGACAGAGGGTCGATGGGGTTGTTTTCACAAGACCAAGGCAGCTGGAGCCCCAATGTGAGGTGGTTTCAACTGAACCACCATCTGGTCTTCTCTGCCATCAGCTGCCTGGGGAAGCTCTTGACCCAGGAAAGGGGGGTTGGGGCGGGGGGAGTGTCAGCAAGGACACTGTTTCTTCCTCCTCCATGAAAAGGTATCTGCAGCATGAGCCTCCTCAACTCCCAACTCCCAACACACAAATGTGCCTTTTCCTGGAGCTGGCTGGCCTGTGGGATCTGCCTTAGATACAGGGTCAGTGCTAAACAGAACTGAGTTCTTAGGGCTTGTCTCCTTCCTACCTCTCCACTCCTAAGTACCCAGAGATCTCATACTATCCCTCATTACCCTAAGTCCAGGGCTGGCTCATCCATTAGGTGTTGTAAGTACAATGCCTAAGACCCACATTACAAAAATGTCTTAATTTCTTTTACAATCAGAAGGGGGGAGGGGGAATGAGCTTTTAAGTGGAAGAGAACATTTTACTATATAATAGCAATCATAAAATATAATTTTAAATATTTTTTTATTGAGGAGAGGGCCCATGAAGGCAAAAGTTCCTAGCCTAGAGCCTGTGGAAATCATGTGGCCCTGCTCTAGTCTTCCTCCTGCCCACTCCAATCCTCTAGATTCCAGGGATTTCTCTCCCCATATCAAAAGCTATCTTTCCAATGGCCCCCTACTAGTCTGAGAGCACATAGAGGGCAGGACTATTCTTCACTCATCCTCAGTGTCTGTTTCACGTCAGATAAAATGCATTGCCTCTTTTTTGGGGGGTGGGGCAGGGGGTGGGGGGGAAGCTTCAGGAAAAAAGGGCTAGGTTTTAAATAAACACTGTCTGAGAACCCCTGGAAACCATGCACAACATTTCACGTTTGTGCTGTCGGACTTTGTCCAAATCCCTCCCAAGCATGTCAAACTCCCGGCCCGCAGGCCACATGCGGCCCACAATGAATATTTTTGTGGCCCAGCCAATAGGACGGGATGTAAGAAATGTTTTAATAAAAATTTTGTAACTGCCCTAGCCGGTTTGGCTCATTGGATAGAGCGTTGGCCTGCGGACTCAAGGGTCCCAGGTTCGATTCTAGTCAAGGGCATGTACCTTGGTTGCGGGCACATCCCCAGTGGAGGGTGTGCAGGAGGCAGCTGATTGATGTTTCTAACTCTCTATTCTTCTCCCTTCCTCTCTGTAAAAAATCAATAAAATATATTTTTTTAAAAAAATTTTGTAACTTAATTTTTACAATATCCTGTTACACATAATTATTAATAACAAACCACAGCGTTCACTAATGACTGATTACTGTAATCGTGTTGCATTCATTTCCCTTATGCGGCTTACACGCAGGCACACCATTTCTCTCCGCTAATACAAACAGCGAATATTTTAGTAGCCGATTGTCACATCATTAGTCTTGTACTGACTTATTTGGTGTGTGCAACAGGAAATATTTTGCTTTTGGAGAACAAGAAAAATAGGTTTATTTGCATTATGCTTATTAATTTGTGCAGTTATTCAGTGTCTGGTAAGTTAATGTTCAAGAAAAAATATTAATTTTTATTAAAATGTTCTACTATTTTATGTAAATGATTACTCATTTATTTCAGCCCTTTGTATTTGCATGTCTCTATCGAAATAAACCTACGTTTCTATGAAAATTGAAGCTTTTGGTTTTTTGCGGCCCACATACACGTAAACCTTGTTTATTTGGCCCGTGTTAGCCTTTTGAGTTTGACATGCTTGCCTTACACTGAACTCCCGCCAAATTCATCAGTGAGCTCCAATTCAGTAAGTCCAACAGATACTTCTCAGGTATAATCTTGACTACGCAGCAGCATTTGACACTACTCATCAAGCCCTCCTTTTTGGCTTCTATGAAACTGTTGCCTTGGTTTCCTCCTATTTTCCTGGATATTCCTGCTGTCTCCTTTGCATGCTCATCCCCTCTACTGAGCCATTGAAAATAAATAATAGTGGTGATGATGATGACGACGATGATGATGATAATAGCAGCTGAAACATACCAGGTTTTACTCTGTGCTGGGCACTACTATAAATTATCAGTTTTTTTAATCCTCAAAATAATCCCAAATCCATTCTCCAACCACCCGCCAGAGTGACTTTTCTCAAAACCAAATCTGATCTCCCACTTAAAAGCTCTGCTACAAACCTTCTAATGGCGTCCCCAGCCCACAGCTTGTAAAGTCTTTCATGATCTGGCTCCTGCCCACCTCCCCAGCCCCATTTCTCACCACGGCCTCTTCCTATGACACTCCTGCTTTTAGCTTCTCCATTAAGAACTCTAGGTCTTTGCGTGTGCTGTTCCCACTGCCTAAAATACTCTTCTTCCACCGCTTAGCCAAATACCGATAGCTCTTTCAGGTTTCAGTGGAACATCACCTTTTCTGGGAGCCAGAGGTGGGGTGAGGGGGCTATATGTAGCATGGTGGTTATGAGACGCACAGTCTGAAACCAGTCTGCCTAGTTCAACTCCCAGCTCTGCCACTTCCTAGCCAAGTAACCTTGGGCAAGCTATTTAAACTCTCTGGGACTTCAATTTTTTATCAGTCGTGAGAATTAAAGAAATCATACATAAGGCACATTGCAGTGCTACTAGTGTCACTTCCACATTTCTAGGCCAGGTTAAGGCGTTTTGTCAGTATTTCCCAAAACTCCTTTATAATAACACCATATGATGTCAACCTCACTGCTGAGAGTGTCCACCTGCCCATCTTGCCAGACTGTCAGCTCGATGAGGACAGGGACTTTTGGCCTTGGTCCTGTCCTATTTCTAGTGCCTGGCACACAGTAGGTGCTCATATTCAGTATATCAACACCTACCAGATGATATATCCTGATGATATATGCTTTCCAGCAAACAGCCACTTCAAACAAGGAAGGAAAAAGAGGGTAAGATTTTGAGTAAAAGGGCATACAAGGCAGGCAGGCTGAGGCTGAAAGCTGTCACAAAGGCAACCTGGTAATTAGGAAAATACCTTTATTATTTTTGAAATGTTCCAATATTCAATGTAAAAACCATGATAGTGGCTTTTTCACTTCACAAATTATAGAAAATTACTTTCCCCATTCCTTACAGAAACCTCTCCCCACAATCCCCACCAATAAGACAGGGCTCCATTACGGCTGAAGCAGGGCAGGGAGGAGGGGCAGAGAATACGGCAAGTAGAACCAAGGCTCTCTGGCAGCCAGGGGCTTTTCCTGCCCAGTTTGAGTCCCAAAGACCTGTGAGCCCTCTGAGGCAGGCTCAGTCCACGCGTATCTGTGACACACTGAGGCAGGCCTCTGTCTTGAAGGCTGACAGTGGCAGGGGGCCTCCGGCGTGGCACTTGTGCCTGGCAGGCCACAATCAAGGCAGCTTCATGAGAGCGAGATAGGAGGCAGGCCTGCAGCTATAATTAGCAGTTAGTTAATTTTTAGAAAAAGACACTTGAGTTGCTCAGTGTTAGGTTTGTGTTTTTTAATCAGAACTCTGACTCCTTCCTTTCTCATCCATGGTCGGGCACGGGGTTACAGCTGCAGCAGAATGCTGTTTGTTGATTTGAGAAAACTGAAAATGTTTTGTACTTACAAAGGTGGATGGAATTCAAAAACCGATCCCCACCGATTTTTATGAGAAACATGACTATTCCTCTTGAGCGTCTCAAGTCAAAACAAGGCAACCGCCTAGTGATTTATCGTCCCCACTACGCATTTTCCGCCTTCCAGAAGGCATTAGAGAAAGGGCCAACGTCCGCCAGGAGCGATTGTAAACATACCACTGACAGCTTGGACACTTTGTTTTTAAATGCAGCAGGACTTTTTCCTTTGGCCCTGATGGAAAAGCCAACTCCCTAGGGCTGTTTAGGCAGGAGCAGACAGGAGGGCTCCCCAAAACCTATGAGTGAGGGCCCAGTGGTCCCCCTTGGCCGGAGTGTGGCTGGAGCATCATCAAAGGCAATCGATACATTTATGGCATATGAAAATTGTCCTGTGGTCCCCAACTGGCCCGCAGGCTCAACCTGGCTGGATGCGGGGCACGGGAGGTACAAAACAAGGCACATGGTGGAGGTGGTCCCCACTCCAGGCCCAGAGAGATTATCTCTTCGCACGATTCCAAAAGTGTTGGAAAGTGGAGGAGTTGATGACACTCACTATGAGCAGCAGCAGCAGGTACAGGAATATCATGACCGTAAACCAATGGCTGGAAAACCAGGACAGCTGGCTGGAAGCCCTGCTTAAAAGGGAAAAAAGAGTGATGTTGGCAAAATGAGAAAAACATTTTTTTTAAGTGTATGCAACAACTCCTGGCGCAAAGATGAAATGATGAATTTCATCCTCTGAGTGAGCCATGAAATGAAGCTTCGTGCGTTCTCCTTTGCTCGAGAAATCTGAGGCTGTTTGCCCTGGCACTGACACGCCTTTCACCAGAACATGTTCTAAATGTACAAAGACAGCTATGCAGTGAGCTCACCCTGAGCTTCCCTTTTATAGCTGCTCCTCTTGAACCTTCCATGTCCTGTCTTTCCCTAAGCAGGACTTTGGTATCTAACAGAATGACCTCACTCAAGGTGTCTGCCCAGATGGCAGCAGGTGGCAGGCTATTTAGCAAACGTCGTTTCACTTTTAGACACCTACAGATATCAGTCTGTGCTGGGGAAATCCTCCCTGGCCCGCTGGGAGATGATCTACACTGTCCAAGTGTGCACTAAAGAAACATTCCAGGGAGCAGTGGGAAGGAATGGAATTTTCAAATACAAAGAGCCAGATGATTTTAAACCAAAGGATAATGTCCACCAGACTCAGGAATGCTATACAAATTTCCCAAATTTGAGGAGAAGAGGGTTTTTTCCTGGTTTATGAAATCCTGAAGCATGGAACCCACGGGTATGTACAACAGGAGTGGGAAGTATTAAGTGATCCCCTTACCTGTCTTACTTGCTCACCTGCTGCTCATCCCCATGAAAAGCTAGAGCCCAACAATGCAGCAAGATCTCAAAGTGACCTCGACCCTGGAGAACTCTGTACATACCCCCCCCCCCCGCCCCCACCACCACAACCACATTGCTGAGATGGGATGAGGCATCTACCATGGCTTTTAGGAGTCAGAAGGCCTCATCTGCCATTGGGTTCAACACATTCACTTTAAAGATGAAGGTGGCCCGGCCCACATGGCTTAGTGGTTGAGCATCGACCTATGAACCAGGAGGTCATGCCTGGGTTGTGAGCTCGATCCCCAGTAGGGGGTGTGCAGGAGGCAGCCAATCAATGATTCTCTCTCATCATTGATGTTTCAATCTCTCTCTCCCTTCCCCTTCCTCTCTGAAATCAATAAAAATGTATTTTTTTAAAAAATAAAGATGAAGATGAAGCATCTCAGGTCCAGGAGAAGATGGTGGTTCAACAGCCACCATGGAAAGTGACCGAGCTGGGCGGCACCCAATCCCAGCCAGTGTCCAGCCACCACCCTGCCTCTCAGCTTAATCTAATCAATGGGTTTCAGAGTGAAACCATGAGCCTAGGGCTGAGGGGCCCCACGGTCTAGGGCAGCCAATTTGGCTTCATTCAGTCCCTCATGTCACTTGTGTTACGAATCTCTTTGTCTCATTCACTAGAATATATAGTCCTCAAAGGGCCAGGACCACATCTTTTAAAAATATATATATTTTTTATTGATTTCAGAGAGAAAGGGAGAGAGAGAAATATCAATGATGAGAGAATCATTGATCAGCTGCCTCCTGCATGCCCCCCATTGGGGATCGAGCCCGCAACCCGGGCATGTGCCCTGACCAAGAATTGAACTGTGATCTCCTGGTTCATAGGTTGACGCTCAACCACTGAGCCATGCCAGACAAGCCAGGACCACATCTTATATAACCTTATCCTCACTCCTCACCCTGTCTAGCAAAGTGCTTTATATACTTTATACATAGCTGAAGCCTAAAGCTGGAGGAAAGAGGGTGCTGGTAACAAAGAACCCAACACTTTTAATGCAGCCTTCAGTTGTCCTCCTGGGCACGGGCAAGGACCGTCCCTCTTACCTCTTGGCCTGCTTCTGTGAGTACACCAGCAGGTACTTCACTCGCAGGAGCTGGTTGTTGGTGACCACAAAGTACTTTGGAGGGATGTCTCCCCCTTCACTGTGCTTGATTCTCGCCCTCCTGCGATCTATCTCCTTGGAATCTGAATAAGGAAAGTAAAGCACAACTTTACTGGGGGTGGGGTAAGGGATACAATAACAAAAGCAGCAAATTATGAATATAAATGGGTCAAGCCTCCTGGTCTTTGGGGTGGAGAAGCCCCAGCAGGCTGAGGAATAGGTGTGTGTGTGTGTGTGTGTGTGTGTGTGTGTGTGTGTGTGTGTGTGTGAAGCACAGTAAAAAACAGGAGAATCAGCTGGGCCAGTGTGGTTGAGCGTCAACCTATGAACCAGGAGGCCATGGTTTGATTCCTGGTCAGAGCACATGCCTGGGTTGCAGGCTCGATACCCAGTGTGGGGCATTCAGGAGGCAGCCGATCAATGATTCTCTCTGGTCACTGATGTTTCTATCTCTTTCCCCCTCTCCCTTCCTCTCTGAAATCAATACAAATATATTTTTAAAAACACACAGGAGAATCAACAGAGAGACAAATAGGATAAAGAGAAAAAGGAATAGGAAAATAAAGGAGATACGAGGTGGGGGAAACTTGGCTGAACAAGGAAAACAGAGAAAAGCAGCAGATTGATGTTCAAAACAAAAAAATAATCAGGGACGAGGAACAGGACTTGATCGGAGACCTGTCTCTTAGCAGGCATTTTAAATTAGCCATTCTGGATTCGAGCTTCTTAGAACACATCTTCTACTCTTTGTACCAAGGTTTGTTTAAACAAACAAACAGAAACAAAACTTTTAATGCCACGAAAAGCCTTAGCAATTTTTTAAAAAAGCCAAAGCTGTGTGACAGCAGACGTTGCAAGGTTTTGTTTTGATGTTTAATGTCACGGTTTGCAAACTTCCTAAGAATTATAAATGCAAATATTCATGCTGTCTGGTTTAAGAGGTTGGCGTCAGACCTGGGCCCGTTTCTCGGTTCCAGTTGTTTTACATTAGAGGCCAGGAACAGTTTTCTCAATTTTCCTTTTCTCTTTGGAACCAACAGGCCAGTTCTGAAGACCAGAATGACAGTTCTGTGACTCTTCTGCCTTTGCAGGCAAAACAGCAGGGGGTGCCGGGCAAGTAATCTAAGGGACGTATTAGGGAAGTAGACCGAGGCGGCCAGCGAGTCGTCTGCTTCCTGGAAGCCTGGGGTTTACTGTCCGTGGCCTCAGTTGCCTCTCACATCCTCCAAGGGCTCCAGCACACACAAGAGCATCCTGGAGGGACAGGTCTAAACACACGTATTTAGCTTCAATTTGGCAAATATTTTCTGAATGTCAAGTATGAACCAGGCTCCCTACTGATACCAGGTGTCCAAGCCTGACTGAGTCCCATGTCCTGCCCTCAGGAGCCCACATTCTGGCCTCACACACTCACGTTCAGCTTTCACATCTCACTTCCTCCCAAAGCTTTCTCTGAGCATCTGAACCCACCGACTGCTCCGTCGTCTGATCTGCCCGGTGGATCCCCTCACCTGGAACTCTCTACCTACCACCTTATAGTAAGTGACATCTTTTCTATTGTGTGTTCAATACCATAAGGAGACTGCTCACTGCCTGAAGGCAGGCCCCTGTCCTACACTGCTCTGGACTCAGCCCATCCCTTAGCCCGCAATGGGTACTCCACCCAACAGTTGGGCCAACAGCAAGAGCCTCCGCACCCTGAGGCTGCAGCCTAGTTCTGGGCCAAGGGCTCACTCACCTTTCTTCTTGGTTTGGCACTTGACATCTGGATGGTCTATGACCTCACACACAGCCACGCAGCTGAGGATGGGGCCAAGGAGGCTACGCTGCCACCCATAGCCATGGGGGCTATAAATGAGGGCCAGGCTCAAGTCACTGGTGAGGTAGGTCCCTTCCCCGAACAAGGATGTCTAGAATGGCAGAGCCACCAGAAAAGAAACAAGGCTGGGTAAGTATAAAATGGAACAGCAAGGCAACACAAGTCTTTCTTCAACAGAATTATAAACACAACATTTTCAAGCCTTTTTTTTTCCTAGTGAAAAGCATAAATTCAAATAATCCTATGACATCATTATGGGGCTATCGCTAAACACATTCCTATCTGACGACCAGGCGACTGTGGATACACCTGATTAGCCTGGCACACTAGTAGTTCCTGTGGTCAAGGTTGAGTGAGAAAAATATAAGTATTAAAAGTCCAGCCCTAACCGGTTTGGCTCAGTGGATAGAGCATCGGCCTGTGGACTCAAGGGTCCCAGGTTCGATTCCGGTCAAGGGCATGTACCTTGGTTGTGGGCACATCCCCAGTGGGGAGTGTGCAGGAGGCAGCTGATCGATGTTTCTCTCTCATCGATGTTTCTAACTCTCTATCCCTCTCCCTTCCTCTCTGTAAAAAATCAATAAAATATATTAAATAAATAAATAAATAAAAGTTCAGCTTGGTGGGTGTGGCTCAGTGGTTGAGTGTCAACCTATGAACCAGGAGGTCACAGTTCAATTCCGGTCAGGACACATACCCATGTTGCGGGCTCAATCCCCAGTGTGGCGCATGCAGGAGGCAGCCAATTGATGATTCTTTCTCATCATAGATGTTTCTTTCTCTCTCTCTCTCTCTCTCTCTCTCTCTCTCTCTCTCTCTCCCTCTTCCTTCCGCTCTGAAATCAATAAAAAATATATTTTTTAATTAACAGGGTGTTAATTTAAAAAAAAAAAAAGAGTCCAAACAGACCCAAGTTTAAATTCTGCCTATACCTCCAACAAGCTGGCAAGTTATAAAAACTCTCTGGCTGGGGGGTGGGAGTGGCCGGAGAGAGGTCAATGGAGGGAAAAGGATTCATAGTAATACTTTAAACAATAAAGAATTTAAAACAAACAAACTCTCTGGGTCTCAGTTTCTGCATTTACAAAATGGTGATAATAGTGTCTCCTTCATGCCAAAACCGGTTTGGCTCAGTGGATAGAGCGTCGGCCTGCGGACTGAAGGGTCCCAGGTTCGATTCCGGTCAAGGGCATGTACCTGGGTTGCGGTCACATCCCCAGTGGGAGATGTGCAGGAGGCAGCTGATCGATGTTTCTCTCTCATCGATGTTTCTAACTCTCTATCTCTCTCCCTTCCTCTCTGTAAAAAATCAATAAAATATATTTAAAAAAAAAATAGTGTCTCCTTCATAAGGTCATGGATGAGGATTCAATGAGATAATGTATATAAAGCATCGATCAGGACTCCTGGCACATGAGAGGGGTGGGCACTCCAGCACAGAATCTTGTGTGGTAGTATATGCAGTAATTCCTGCTACATGAAATGCATGAGCATGGTTACACTGATGGGCTGGCAGAAGCAAAATAATACTCGTATGTACTAGGAGGGGGATTGCACCTTAAGGGGAAGCAATCTGAGTCATTACTTAGAAAGGAAATGAATCTCTCAGACCAGAAACTATAACTGAATGAAGAAGCCTATAGGAGAGTCAGGGTAAGTTTTACTCTTTGTATTGGTGTTGACCTAGAAAATGTCCAAAAATCTAGAAGGCAGCTCCCTGGTGGTAGGTGCTAACTTGGAGCCCTCCATGAGGAAGCATGCCAGGTGAGAGACAAGGATCTCGGGTTAAATACCTCCAGTTGAGCTTACAGAAGGCATTGCAAACAAATCCTTGCCCATGGTAGACATCAATAATCAACCATGATGGCCAACATAAAAATATCAATGATGGTATTCATTCACACTGGCTCAGAATCCTTCTCAATGCGACATCCAGGTAGCTGCTACCCAGGGCAGCTGTTATTCTGGGGCCACAGCATCAGTATCACAAGACAATGAGTGGACTCTAACAGCACACGGAACATCCTATGCTTGGGAATTGAGAAATGTCTTGTCTGGTGGCACCAGACTTCCACAATTCTAAGCCAATTCAGTGACGCTTAAGGGATGTGAAACAAGCCTTTGCTTGGCCTTTGGAAAGCCCCGTGCTGGGTTAGGCAGAGTTCCCGTGTCTTAAAATCCTGCACAGACCTCTCCAAGGATACTGAATGTCCTCTGATCTGACCCCACGTCCATTCTCCCCTCTGCCTGTATATATACACCTTCTAGACTCCAGAACCTCAAGCATGGCTGCAGTGAGCAGAAGAGTGGGAAACTTGGGGTATCTCTACCATGAGAGCAATCCCACAGCTTCAACTGGCAGACGTCCCACTGAAAATCCAGACAGAAGAGGCAAGAGCAGACACTTTAGCAAAGGATTCTGATGAGATGCTGCTAAGTAGCAAAATCCCTGGGGGACTGAAGTGAAGGTCTGGTGTACAAGACTGTAATCTGCAGGCAACTTCAGGCTGGCTCTGCTGTGGAGGGAGCCCGGGATTCCAGTAGCCTGGCCGAAATAATCAGCTGAAAGCCAGTGTAAACAAGCTCGTCATCCTCAGCAAAACCTAACTGCACTAATTGCTAATCTGCTGCAGCGCTGCTGGGAAGACTCTCCCGCTCCAGGATGCATCAGCCACAGGTCAGCCTGCGGCTCAGGGAGCCAGCCCCTCAGGCATGGCAGGTGCTGCATGACCGGAGGAAAGGCTGCAGCACTGCTACTACCCAAATTCCTAGAAAAGCAGTGTCCTTGGTGCTTAGTACAGGAAGACCTTTTGCATGCATGGGCTGTTTCAATCCTCTCAGCTCACCAGAAGGTGGGTAATGGTATCCTATTGTACAGATGAGGACACTGAGGCTCAGAGAGTTTAAAACAATCTGCACAGGCTGCAGAGCTGCTAAGGTGGTCTTTTTGGCTCCTGTCTGTACTCTCCCCTACACTTCACAGAGAGGCAAAAAAGTGCCAGCGGAGCCCTCGCTGGTATGGCCCAGTTCGTTGGCCATCATCCCGTGCACTGAAAGGTTGCCAGTTTCATTCCCAGTAGGGCACATGCCCGGGTTGCAGGCTCAATCCCCAATAGGAGGCAGCCAATCGATGCTGTGCTCTCACATCGATGTTTCTTTCTGTAAAAATCAATTTTAAAAAGCTTTTTTTAAAAAAATGTGCCCTCACTGGTTGAGTGTCGACCTATGAACCATGCCTGGGTTGGGGCTCAATCCCCAGTGTGGGTCATGCAGGAGGCAGCCAATCAATAGTTCTCTTTTATCATTGATGTTTCTCTCTCTCTCTCCCTTCCTCTCTGAAATCAATAAAAATGTATATTTTTTTAAACTGTGCCAGTGGAGTAGGGGTTGTTGACACTGTTTTGACTCTTTAAAAAGGGAGGACACTAAGGAGAGGAAGCAAACTCAAGGAGGGAGGGAAAGGACCCCTCCCTGGCACTTCCCCCAATTTCTCCAAGGGCAGGCTGTGTTGGAGTGACCCCTAGAGCAGTGTTTCTCAAACTTCAAAATACAAAGAGATCACCTGGGGAGCTGGCCTGGGGTGGGCCCTGAGATTCTACTTGTCCAACAAGCTCCAGGTGATGTGGTGCCACTGGTCCAGGAACCATGCTGAGTGGTGAGGGTTGACCACACACTGGATCACCTGGTGAGCTTTACAAGCATGCTGCTGTCTGGACCTGACTCCCAGAGATGCTTCTCAAACTGCCATCAGTATAGGGATCACCTGGAGATCTTGTTAATATGCAGGTTCTGATTCAGAAGGTCCAGGTGGGCCCAGGATTCTGCATTTTCACAGGCGCCCAGCTGCTGCTGGTCTGTGGCCCACATTTTGAGTGGCAAGGACTTAGGGAACCTACCCCTTCCCACCCTTTACCCGCTCTGACCCACCAACCCCCCCAAATGTCAGCAGGCTTAGGCCCCACCTTGTTCAGGTGGCAGTGCAGGCCATTGTGGATGATGGAATGGAAGTTTTCTAGGCGGCTCCCATGGAAGGCGTAGATTAGGTCTCGTTCTCCTTTGGTCTCATAAAATTTGGCATTCGCTGGGTCCGAGTACTCGATTTCAAATAGGAAGTCCGGCACAGGGACAGGAGTGTGAGGGGCACCAGTCAGCTTTTGGATCTTTTCAAACTTGAAAACATGAAGGGAGTCGAAATTTTATTTGGGAAGCTGGTAAAATGTGCTGCCAACATGGCGTCCTAAAGCCTTGGGCTTAAAGTCTAATGGACTCTGTTCATGAGGACAACTGGTTTCATGAGAATAAAGACATCAACTTATAAACAAGCTCAGAGCTTACAGCTCAAGACTGCCTCCTCTGATGTTTTTCCCTACAATAGGCTGAGAAGCATGCATTGTTCCTTCTAACTAAAGATCACTCTTCATTTTCATAACTTTCACATCTATTTCCTATATTCCATCTTTACAATCATCTCAGGAGGTAGAAAGGTGTGATAAATGGCAAAAATGGCCACATATTTTTCCTCCCACCCCTCTGCAATGTGACTTTGCAGGTGGAATTCCACCAAGATTCCATCAAGAGATGGAAACTATTTCACTCCCCCTTTAATTTGGACTTGGCCATGCGACTTGCCAATGGGACCTATGGCAGACAGAGGCTTGAAAAGGACTTGCCCCTCCTTGTCTGCTGCTGGGAACCTTTACCCTTCACTGCCATGTGAACAACCCCTGCTAGCCTATAGGACAGGGATGGCGAACCTTTTGAGCTTGGTGTGTCAGCATTTTGAAAAACCCTAACTTAACTCTGGTGCCGTGTCACATATAGAAATGTTTTGATATTTGCAACCATAGTAAAACAAAGATTTATATTTTTGATATTTATTTTATATATTTAAATGCCATTTAACAAAGAAAAATCAACCAAAAAAATGAGTTCACGTGTCACCTCTGACACGCGTGTCATAGGTTCGCCATCACTGCTATAGGAGGATGAGTGCCTCATAGAGGAAGGCCCAACCACAGCAGCCATCCCAGCTGAAGCCCCAGGCATATAAGTGAGGCTACCCTAGATCACCCAGCCCCAGGTAAGCCAGCCCCACCCAGAAGGACCACCCAACCAACCCACAGAATCATGAGAAATAATCAGTGTTGTTTTAAGCCACTAGGTTTTTGGGGGATGGTTTGTTATGAGGCAAAAAAAAAACCTACTTGATATAAAAGGGTGAGCTATTTCCTACGGGGGCAATGATCCTCTTTAGGGCAGAAACCACATCATTTCAGTGATTTCCAAACAGGTAAGTCACAGTCTATGGAGAAGGCGAAGTTTTCTCTGGGTTGTGATTAAATAAGAAAAATTAGGGCGGCCCTGGCTGGTAGCTCAGCTGGTTAGAGCATCATCCTGAGACACCAAGGTTGCAGATTCAATCCCCAGACAGGGCACATATAAGAATAAACCATCCACCCGGCATGGCTCAGTGGTTGAGCGTCAACCCATGAACCAGAAAGTCATGGTTCAATTCCTGGTCAGGACAAATGCCCAGGTTGTGGGCTTGATCCCCAGTGGGGGGTGTGCAGAAGGCAGCCGATCAATGATTCTCTCTCATCATTGATGTTTCTATTTCTCTCTCCTTCCTCTCTGAAATCAATAAAAATATTTTTTAAAAAATAAACCAATGAATGCATAAATAAGTGGAACAACAAATCAATGTCTTTCTTTCTCTCTCTCTTTCTCTCTCTCTCCCTTTCTCTTTTCAAAATCAGTCAATAAAATTTTTTTAAAAATATATTTTATTGATTTTTTACAGAGAGGAAGGGATAGGGATAGAGAGTCAGAAACATTGATGAGAGAGAAACATCGATCAGCTGCCTCCTGCACGCCCCCGACTGGGGATGTGCCCGCAACCAAGGTACATGCCCCTGACCGGAATCGAACCTGGGACCCTTAAGTCCGCAGGCCGACGCTCTATCCACTGAGCCAAACCGGTTAGGGCAATAAAATTTTTAAAGAGAAAATTTAGGTCAATGTAATAGATATATATTTACATATATTTAATACATATTTTATACACACACACACTGCTGTAAGGTTGCCATGACCCTTTCTTTGGAAGAACTGTTCTCTATTCTAAGGTCAGGACCATCCTCTTTTGTGTTAAAACATCCTTTTATAAAATGATGGTACATGGTAGGCTAATGTCCTTGCTTGGGTCAATAAAAAGCTGGTAATCCTGGATGCCAACACTCCATATTTTAATGGAAGTCAACTTGTCCATAATCCAAAGTCAAGGAGCTATTATCTTATCTACTTTACCTGCAGCAATATCTAGTAGGTGCCTGATGCCCATATGAGGAATGAATAAATCTCAATTTAACAGATGACAAAAGTAAAACCCAGAGATCACCTAAGAGTTAACAGTCCAGCCTGGACCCAAATATCTCCCACTGACTCCCACTCCAGGGCTCTTTGTTATTTTCCCTCCCAACACAGATGGATGTCCCCAGACACCAGAATCCAAGACATCAAATTCTATGCCACTTAAGGATTTCCGTCTTTAGCAGGAGCTTGTAAAACTGAATGCTCTTACGTTAAAATGGATTAATTAAGTGAAGAACAGTACCGATAAGCCCCTGCTGCCTCTCAGAGGAAAGAGCACCAGATTGCGGATCTGCCATCCCACACTCTGGTCCTTGCTATCCCAGCGTGTCCTGGGAGATCTGGTCAGGCAAGGGACACCAAATTATGGAATGTCTGGTCTATGCCAAAAACTATACTGGGAGTGACACACATTCCGTTATAGCTCCCCTCTGAGGTACCTATTAATATTCTCAGTTTACAAATGGGGAAAGGAAGACCCAATTATGGGTAGAAGTGGAGTTCAGTTTTTTTAAATTAATTTTTAGAGAGAGAAGAAGGGAGAGGGAGAGAGAGAGAAAGAAACATCAATGCTGAGAATCACCAATTGGCTGCCTTGTGCACACCCCCTTCTAGGGATTGAGCCCACAACCCAGGCATGTGCACTGACTGGGAATCGAATCAGCAACCTCTTTGGTGCATGGGTCAATGCTCAACCACTGAGCCACACCGGCCAGGCATGGTGGAAGTGGAATTTAAACCCAGAGCATGAGGTTTTCCGATACTTCAGGCTCTGCCTCTCTGTTTGCTAACACCTGGATTAGGCCCATGTTTCTTAAAATGTGGTCAAGGGCCTACCCTTATCAGAATTACCTGGGCTGCTTGTGATACCCAACATGTATAGAGCCCTTAGCATGTGCCCTTACACATTGTTCTAAGTGTGAAAATTCATTCCATTCTCACAGCCATTTCCCTGATGGAAGTATACTATTCGTAGCCCCATTTCATAGATGAGAAAACTGGGGTACTGAAATGTACCAAGAAACCTGCTCAAGGTCACACAGCTAGTAGGAGGGAGAACACAGCTTTGCACTGCCAGTGTGCAAGTTCCTGGGCCCCACTTCAGACACAGAATCAGAATCTCTGGGGGCAAGGTGCAGGAATCTGCATTTGCAATAAGCTGCCTGGGTTATTTGGTGCACAAGGAGGTCCTAGGAACCTGTGATCCTACAGATCAAAGTCTCACCTCTGACTTCCCTGCACTGTGGACTGTCAGGACCTTTGAGGATAAAATCCAGCTCAGCAGGTCCCAGGCCCGTTTGTCTTTATCTTCAGAGGACTGGAGAAGCTCTTTCAGGTTGGGTAACCTGCTGGCATCTGCAAGCTGAAGTGAGGAAAACCTCCATTAGCAAGGATCCTAGACAAAATGAGAAGCAGGAGCCCTCTAGCGGTAAGACAGCAACCTGCACTTCTTCCAGGTCATGAATTTCCTAAGAGGAGAGACATGTACAGGTCTGTGATCCCCTTTCCAAAGAACATCCAACTCCAAGTGCTCCAAACACTGCAAGGTTTTGTAACTCGTTTGGTACAAAACCTGACCTCAACTGATGTGAGGATCGTTCAATCTTTATTTTTCCCACTTCATGTTACATTTTGCTGTAGGAATATTAACTCTGATCCTGAGATGCCACCTCGCTGGAGGTTTTATCAAATACATGATATATACGAGGGTGGGTAAAGGGTTAGCAAAGCATGAGAAAATGACCTGCAGTTAATTTCCTGTCAGCCTGTTTCCCTGGAGGCTGGATAAAGGAAGTTTCCCTGGAGGCTGGGCAACTACATACATAACCAGGCAAGGCTGCTTATGGTAAAAATGACCCAGAATAGTAAGCGGCACCTACACTGGGAGAAACTGCAAGTGGGGAACCCATGGTTTGAGGTTTCCCTGAAAGTGGTGACTTTTTGTGAGGCCCTGGCAGCTATGTCTACGGCGTTCTTACAAGAGAGACCGGTCTCTGTAAAACATGGGGCTTCATTCGGCCAAAGCAGTTCCTACACCCACCCGACATGAACCTCTTTTTACACATGAGCTGTCACCCTCAGGACAAAGCCTGGAGCCTGGAACTCTGTGTGGACTGCTCCAAGGACTTCCGCAGAAACAGAACCCCTGCTGTAAGTTGCAACCCGTCCTAGGGCCTTGTGATTTAGGCTGGTGCCCGTGTGGCCCGCTATAGATGCCAGTTTAGTTGTATCGTTACACCACATTGTTGCCTTTGTAAAATTGGGTAGCATCTGAATTCTGAAACACATTTGGTGCAGGTTTTCGGTTAAGGGACTGGGGATCTGGACGGACAGATAGCTACAAGGTAACTGTAGCTTTTGCTCAGAAATGATGACTAGAAGCCAAATCTCCCTAGCGTGGTTTTTTAAAACATCACCGTACACAGGTGCCATCTGTGAACATGCCTTGGGTTGCACCACCTCCAAAGTTTGCTCACTCAGTCCCCTGGAATGCCCCTTCCCCTACTTCTACCAACCCAGGCACCCCTTTCTCTAAACCCCAACAGCACTCATCCCCTCTTCTCTCTCCCCAGTATGGCCAGGATTCCTAGAGGCCAGGGACAGTCATGTATTTTTCTAATCCTCCACTTTCCTGGACACAGGGGGAAAAGCAGACAGATCTGGGTTTGAATCTCTGCTCCCCTGCCCTTTTATTTATTTATTTATTTTTTTTTTTAGAATAGTTTACTGATTTTTAGAGAGGAAGGGAGAAGAGAGATACATCAATTGAGAGTGTAACATCCATCGGCTGCCTCCTTCACGCCACTTCCCCACCTCCCAGCCCCCTTCCCCAGGGTGTCTTTAAACAAAGCACCGGACCTGTCTGGCCTCAGTCTCCTCTCTAACATGGGAAGCCCACTATCTCCATATCAGGTTGACAAGAAGTTAAAGAAAGTAGCAGATTATCAGAGCCTGGTTTATATATGTTCATTTCTTTTCTTTTCTTTTTTCTTATATTTCTCCCTGACAACACTCCCAAACACACTTTTACTGGGGATGTAGCTGGTGCTTCATGAATATCAGTGTGTTTTTTCCATTTACAACCACTGATGATTTTTTTTAACTCTGTACTTGAAAATGAGAAACATTTCAGGGCTGCTTTATTCCTCTCTCTTCCAAAGATTCAATCAATAGCTTCAGACTTCTAATAAAACTACCTGTACATATCTCGTGAGCAGTAGTTTTTAACAAGCACATGGGCCCTAGCTGGTTTGGCTCAGTGGATAGAGTGTCAGCCTGCAGACTGAGGGTCCCGGGTTCAAATCCGGGTTCAAGGCCACATGCCTGGGTTGTGGCCCGATCCCCAGTATGGGGTGTGCAGGAGGCAGCCGATCAATGATTCTTATCATTGATGTTTCTATCTCTCTCTCCCTCTCTCTTCCTCTCTGAAATCAATAAAAATATATTTTAAAAAAAGCACATGGGTGTGTAAATGCTTCACGAGTGTTGGTGCTATTCAGTGGGGAGGAAGAAAGGTAAGTAATTGTGACTTAAACCTCCACTGTCATAACAAAGATGCATACAAGCTACTGAGGAGACCGAGTGGGACTTGTGTTGGGTAGAGGCTGAGGGACAGGGGGTGGTCAGGCAAGGCGTTGGCAGAGGAGGTGCTGTGTGACCTGGGTAGTGCAGCGTGAGGTCAGGGCAGTGGATGGGACGTGGTTACTTGTGAAGGCTCTCCTCCCAGGCAGAGTAGCCTGGGTCCAAATCTGGGTTCTCATACCCACCACGAGCTGTGTGACCTGGGTGAGTGGCTTGATCTCCTGTGTCTTGGTTTCCTCAAATACATAATTGGGATAATATTAGTAGCCATTTCCCAGGATCTCTGTGCCAGTTAATCAAGTTAAACAAGTATAGTGCTTAGAGCAGTGGTTCTCAGCCTTCTGGCCCTTTAAATACAGTTCCTTGTGTTGTGACCCAACCATAAAATTATTTTCGTTGCTACTTCATAACTGTAATGTTGCTACTGTTATGAATCGTAATGTAAATATCTGATATGCAGGATGGTCTTAGGCGACCCCTGTGAAAGGGTCATTCGACCGCCAAAGGGGTCGCCACCCACAGGTTGAGAACTGCTGGCTTAGAGCAAAAGGAGGCATTAGGTACTCTAATGTTAGTGGGACTGCCATGTGGTTGTCATAATTAACTGCAGGTGGTTGGTGTGGCGGGAGCCTAGAGTGTGGGGAAAGAAGAGGAGAGAGGAACAGGAGTCAGAAGGTGAGGTCAGCCTTCGAAGGCCTTGGACACCCCCCGGAGGTCTCTGGGCTTTGTTCTATAGGCAATACAGAGCCACTAAGGCAGCGGTTCTCAACTTGTGGGTCGTGACCCCTTTGGCGGTCGAACGACCCTTTCACAGGGGTCGCCTAAGACCATCCTGCGTATCAGATATTTACACTACGATTCATAACAGTGGCAACATTACAGTTATGAAGTAGCAACGAAAATAATTTTATGGTTGGGTCACAACATGAGGAACTGTATGTATTTAAAGGGCCAGAAGGTTGAGAACCACTGCACTAAGGGTACCTGACGCTGTGTTCCAAATGGTGCTGCTGCCTGCCCAGTCCAAAGGACACCTCCCAGCATCCTGTGACCTCACCTGTCCTGCTTTTCTACTCCTGGTCCACACTTGTTATCCCAAAGCCAGAGCTGAGTCTGCTCTCCCACAATCACCGTCCCCATCACTCCTGTTCTCAAATTCCACCTGTGAGCCGCAGCCCTTACCAACAGTCCAGACCTGGGTACAGAGAGCCCTACAAAACGACGGTCAGCTAAGCCAGGTCAGTCTGGGGAAGGGGAAGAGACTGCTCCCAGCTCTGAGATCAACCCATCACGTGAGCGCCCTCGCCCTCGGGGACAGCCCTCTTCCAGGGCTAGGCCCTCCCACTGCTGCCCTCCCTGTGTGTCCTGCTGGGCTCCTCTCTTTGCTACTATTTAACCCTCAACTGGCCTTCCTCAAGTCCTATTTCACTTTTCAGGCTACTCTGAAAAATACATCTGCTCCAACAAGTTAACAGGATTCTTTTTCTTCTTGTGACCAAAACCTGTCTGCATGTTAGCAGTGCCTTTTGGGGACCAGGAACACAAATAGGGCTGTCCCGTAAAATACAGCCTGCCCAGTTGAATTTGAATTTCAGATAAAAAACAAAATAAAGTGTTTACTATAAGTATAACCCGTGCAATAATTATAGCATACTTCACACTTTAAAAATTATGTGTTGCTCCTCTGAAATTCAAATTTAAATAGGTGGCCTATATTTCTTTTTGCTAGTCTAGCAACTCTGTCCTTCACAAGGCCCTTGGGAATCTGTTCTGGCTTCTCTGCCTAACAGTACCTCCTGAAACATCTCACCTGCTCCCTACACCATTCCTCAAGTTCCCTATGTCTTTCCCTCTCTTGCTTCTGCAGCTGCCCAGGATGAGAGTCTGCTCAGTCTTCAAGGCCAGCCTAAAGTCACTGACCCTAACCCTGACCACTCCCAACCTCTAGGCTCCCCTGTGCTCTATGCTAGGTCAGGGGTCACTGTTCAACACAGCCCTCAAGTTGGTACTTGACTCTCTCCACACTTGTTATCCCAAATGCTTCCTGAGGGCCAACTCCATCATGTGTATTCTGGAGCCCCAGCAGTCAGCTAGAACCTGGCACGGAGATCAGAGCAAGATGGTAAAAGCTAATATTTATTGAGGCCTTATCACATGCCAGGCACTGGGCTAAAAGCTGTGCACACGTCATCTCATTTTATCCTCACAACAACCTATCAGAAAGGGGAGGAACCCGGGGCTTGGAGAGGTCAAGCACCTTGCCTAGGGTCCTGCAGCTCTTCAGTGGCAGGGCCAGGAAGCCAGGCAGCCCGACTCTAAGGTCTGTTCTCTGTGATTCCATTTATAATGGACTAAATATCTTAGCCCAAAGGAGCAGTTCCCACAGAGCTTTAAGAAGCTGCTTGGGAAGCCAATCACCTATGTTTCTGGAGTCTCCCACCCCCACATAATAAAGCAAAACAGCTACCAGCTGTGCCTAGGCCCTGTCGGTAGCTACCAGCTGTGCCTAGGCCCTGTAGGTAGCTACCAGCTGTACCTAGGCCCTGTAGGTAAGGAGGAAGATGTATGTCAGGTGAAGTACAAAGCAGAGTCAGGAGACACAAAACCCTCCATAGAGACAAGCATTACAAACCACTGTTCATGACAGTGGAAGGCATTTACCAATAACCAGATTGAGGAGAATAAGTGTTCAGGAGGAAGGCAGGCATTTCTAGGGGGTGGGGAAGAAGGCCGCGGGAAGGGTATACAGGCAGGTAGGATAGGAATGGGACCTGGTGTAAA